CTTTCACCACAGCTTCTTTTCTATTAAACCACTCAGAGGTTTTATTGGCTGGATATGGAAATGCCAAATTCAATTGGATTCTACTTCCCACATTACTAGGCTACTGCAGATTTTAATAATCTGTCCCCATTATCAAATGCTGGCAAGCAAAATGCAAATAGTAATAAAAATTGCAATTCTTCTGCTTTAAAGTTCAAAGAGCACAGTTCTCATCTCTTTGAGCCTTTTCATACATGGAGAAGGCACTGCTAATGTTCTCTATTTAGGTTTGAAGTTTTGTGTTAACCGTGAAAACCAGAATGCTGCACGTAGCAGCCTGTATGCTCATACATGCATACACATGTACACAGGGATACTCCCAAACACATGGACCAAGAGACATATGTGCTCACTCGCATGAAAATCAAGACCATCCCCAAGCAGTGTACTGTATTTAATACAAACAGCACCAGTGCCCTTTGCTTTCTCTGCTGCAGTGACCCAGTGGTGCCTGTGTAAGTGCTCTCACTCTCCATACCAATCCTGATGAGGGCAAGGCAGGGATGGAGCTCTGAGAACAAACCTCCAGAACATTTTCACAGAAAGCAAAATGAGCTGCAAGTTTATCCCTTCAGTAAACAGATTTTGTTCGCTGGACTCCTTATTCACAACAATGTAAAAAACCCAATGCTGAAATTCCCAGGTCTTGAGGGATTTGAGCTTTTCAGTAATTAAACTCATGTAGTCAATTGTCCAACACTTTCGTTGTTTGTGAAGAAAAATCCACAGGAGTCTTCAACTTACATTTGCTTTCTTTTACAGATTTCAAATAAGCTTTAAACAATGCCTGTGCCAACTTGTTTCACCACAGGCTCAGTTAAGCCCAATTAGGGTTGCCAGGAATCTGGGTGAAGTGGATCAAAGAGGAACTTTGGAAGAGACCAGGCAGCAGCAACGTTAATGAGACTTATTTGTAATGCATTAATCCAAACATCTTCCCAAATTTCAGCTGTAATATGTAGAATACAGCAAAGAATGAGGCTGTTAACTGAGAACGTTGCTGTTGTGTAAGGACATTGAAAACTCAACATTATGTCCCAGGAAAGGCTGTTCAGTGTTCTGTTCAATGGGCAGGAGTATTGTTTGGCCTTCCACACGCAGCAGAGTGCAAATACATCATATTTTCAGAAAAAAGCATCCCTAGGGAGCCCTCGCTGCTCAGCAACAGCAAAAACCATTCCCATCAGTATTATTTATATTGTGTAATAATAGCATATTACTTATATACGGACTCAATATCCCTGTGACAGATAGGTTATTAAAATACCAATGGATGGGTCAGGAATACATCAATATTTTAGCAGCGATGGCTATCTACCAAAGGCTGCGCTGAGTCACATGTTTTCTTGTGCTTGCAAAAGCCTGGAGAAAGCTACAATAACTGTCTGAAGTGACTGAAGGGGTATTTGGAAGGGAATTCAAAGCTTGCAGTAAATAGCATTTTCCTTAAAAACAAACAGTCAAGATAGATCCAGGAAAGAAAAAAAAAAGATGAAAAGTGATCCAAGCAAATTTAAAACAGAGATCAGTATCAAAGGAATTCAAGGGAATGACAGGCTGTATCTTTGAGGTTGTAACGATGATCCACATGTGCAGCAGCAAGGTAAGCACAGGTAAGAAGAGCAGAAGAGTGTCTGGCAAGCTGGTGGTGGGATGGTGCCCAGCTCTTCACACATCCCAGCGCTCAGGCTCTGCAGCCATGGGACACTAATGCTCACCTTTGGAGCTACCAAAGCTTCCAAAGAGAGTAGAAGACAATGGCAGGACAAGAGAAAATGACCTGCTCAAAGGAGCAGAATGCTCATCTTATAAATTGAAAATGAAATCATGTCAGTCATGATAACAAAAGAGTGAGAAAAAGAAATGGGGAACTTGCAATGCTGAGGAAATCTGCAGCAGGGGAAAGGCACACCCCACTGTAAAGGACGTCTTGACGTCTTGCTGTTATTTAATGGACATCACTGTGCTAACAGACTGCAGATGTACTCCACAAGAGCAAGTGCAAACCATGTCGTTGCACATCTGTTATAATGCTAAGACCTTTCCAGTGGTATTTATAGTGATATTTGAACAGGTAAACATGCCCTTAACTCTGCAAGGAGAGAAAAGCTATCAGAGAGTGATGAGAAGGAACAGTACAGCTCTGATACAGTCAGGGTGTGAGTACTGAGCATACTAACAGAGCTCTAAAAGAAACATCTCCCTGAAGATGGGTCTGCATGTGTTTAACTTCACCATCAGGAACAACTGCCCTGGTGTGGAACTCAGTGTTTCAGTGCCTGCAGAGCTGGGATGCACATGAGCACACTTGTGGCTTGCCTTTAATATAGCAGGTCTTACAAAAACAGTTCAAGGCTTCCTCCTCCCTAAAACTTCTGTGCCATTGCTACAGATCACATATATAATATATATAATATATAATGCTAATACTTCTTCACGCCTAACAAATGAGATTATTTAATCTCTGAAGATGGAATCACTTAAATTCTTCCATTTTTATAATATTTTTTTGTACCATGTATTTTGATATAGTAACAATGTCAGGTTTTCAGTCTCAGAAAGTACTATATAATAAATCTACACAAAATTATCATGCTGAGCAACTGCAAATTTGAAGTTGTTGAAACTACTGAAATTACAGTTTGTTTGAAGTAGCATTTGTCCAATGCTACCACAGATTTGGTTGTAACTTCCTTCTAAAGACTCGAAGCACAAAACATAAGAGCTGATACAAAAATGCTTGATTTAAACATGACTGCAATAAATAAGACCTTTTCTAGATAAGAATACCATGATTTGGACTATGCATGGCACTAAATTAGGTCTGGAGCACAATCTTTTAGGCTACGTGTTGCTGCCTGTATGTGATCCTATCATAACCGACTGCTTACAAAGTGACTACCTGCCAGCTGAACTTTGGCAACTTGAATAAGTGCACACTCTTAGCATACCACAACTGCAGGCAAAAACTTAATAGGCTCCACCTTTATGAGCCTAAACCTGTTATGTAGCCTGATGGATGGGAACTCATCATGCCACCATAATGATCTCATAGTCTAAGGCATAACCTCATGGCGTGGGGAACTTAGCAGATAATGTCACAACTCCTTCCCAATTTTGTTTTTATGGTTGCAGAAGTACACAAACTATGAAACAATAGCAATCAGCTTCTGATTTCATGTAAAATTAAAATTGGTATAGCTCTAATGACTGTAGGGATATTTTTCTAATTTATGTTTGTCCAGATCAGGTCCCATGAATTTCACATATAAAGAGAAGTGGGTTTAATATGTAGATATTATTTCCTTTTCTTATATAATATTGATTGTGAAGAAAACTTAATTACATTTAGCCCATCTGTACTAGCCAAATTAATTAAATATTTCTCTCTGTACTTATCTCTAATTGTAACGTCAACAGAGCTGTCCTAGTACATGTTATGTTACCATTAAAAAAGAAAAAGAAAATTACTTTTAAAACCTGCAGTGAAATGATGTTAAGTGTCTGCCTTAAACTGACAAATTCAAGGAGATTTAGAGTTAAGACTGCCAACTCTTTCAATAACTCACCTTTACTGCTGAATATAAAGCATAGAAAATCACAATACAGCACAGTTTATACGGAGCCAGTTCAGAGTGTATCAGAAAATGCTTTACATACATTACAGGGAAAACAGGATTTTTGTGGGCAGATTTAAGAATGTACACGAGTGAGTCAGAGGCTCGGACAGCAGGGGAGAGCACCGGACAGATGGGAAAGCAGGCGGGGGGCAGCGATCCCAGCTGTGGGACCTTGTGTAAGAGAGATGCACACTAGCATAGAGGAGCAGAGAGAGTGGGCAGAGACATGGTTGTCAGTGCTCTTGGAAATAAGGTAAAAAAGGAAGGATGAGAGAGGTATAAGGCAAATTTGAATGGGATTCAGAAATGAGGAAGCCTTTGCCAAAGGACAGCATGGTCTTAGAGACCACAGGATACAAAATCAGAAGGTCTCAAAATATATCTGTAAATGAGGAATCAGCACTGAGTCACAGTGTTTCTATTGAGGTCCCACAGTGACCTCAGTTCTTGGCTCTCAATCAAGTTTAATTTATCAATGACCTGGAAGAAAATAGATAATTATTATACTAAGTTCTGATACAACGTTGAGGCACGAGATCTCTCCCAAGATACTGAGATGTATAATAATATGCATCCCAGTATAAAGTCTTAGGAAGAACACAACCATAATTGGGGCAGATGCATTCACAGTCTGACCAAGAAACCTATTCAGCTCCAGGTACGGGGTGAGTCAATGGGGACAAATAAAAGCAGAGGAAGCAACAGTCCTCCTTGACTGTCTAGTAAACCAAGTGTTCCTAAAAAGATAGGAACAGCATTTTGAGAACAACCTGTGAGGAATACTGCTGCTTTTCTGGAAAGTCTGAAATAAAGACTGGATGTTTTTGTTGGAAAAAAAACTAACGCTGGTTCCTGAGAGGGAGTGTTCTGTAGCCAGAGATCCTCATCACTAGTCAAATGAGTCAACTTTTTTTCCCGCAATACTTGGCCTGGTATCGCAAAGAACATATCAGAAGCAGTTTCACTGCTTCCAAGAGCAACAGAGGGTTTTTCATTTGGGTATCCATTCACTGATGAAAGAAAGGAAGAAAGGTGAAAGAAGAGGTGAAAGAAATGACTCATTAAAATATTTTTTTTTTTAAATATATTTTAGAAAATACCCAAGTAAAAATACCCCTAGGATGCTAGGTATGGCACATACATAAATTCTGCCTTGGAGAACGTCTAACAAAAAGGTCTACTCTGTCACTGCATTGATGAAGTCTGTAGAGCAACTGTCTTGAGTAAACAAACAAAACATTGCTATTTTGTGATAAAAAGTAAAACATACAGCAAAACTATAGATTCAAATGGGAATCGAGGATGTGACAAATAAACAGAGCCATGAATTATGTATCATACCTCCGTCATTGTCCAGGTTATCCCCACACACCATTTCCATGACAACGTTACATCCTGAGCCGCTCCAGCCCACTTGACAGACACAGTGCCATCCGTTCTGATCAAGAGTACACCTGCCATTTCCATAACAGAGACCTGGGCAGCCATCTATTGAAGAAAAAAAGAAAAAGTGAAAAAAGAAACAATCGTTGAGGAGTTTTTTTTTCTCTTCCTGTAAAGTTGCAATTATTCAACGACATTCTTCAATCCTTGCTGCCTAAAAAAGAGAGCAATACAGCTCCTTTGCATGACATTCATACTCTTGGCTGAATATGGAAAAATACCTGTACTTATCCCTACTTATACTTGCCCAGGAATCATTTGTCATTGAGGAGTGAGGATTTTTTTAGTGTGCAACTTTCTGTGCACAGGCAAAAGTGAATAAATGTGTAAGAAGTTACTTAACAGCCTGCTGTGTCAATCTCTTTCTCTACACATAGAAAAAAATGTTGTGTACCAGGAAATGTATATACATACTCAATGTTTATATCAAAGGTATACATGAGAAATATTTTTAAATGACAAACTGGCATTTTTGGACATAATCCTATATGCTGCAGGGAAACGAGGTGATCTATTTATTCTGATTGTAAAGACTGAGCTGAATGTGAAAAAGCCTGTCTGGTTTATTCTACTACACAATGACTTTCCACAGAAGGAAAATGAGGCAGCATTTCCCTTCAATGTCTATTTCTACCTCTTTCAGTGAGCTGATTCAAATGTGACAAACAGTTGCCCTTTAGTGGTGCTGGTTCTAGATAAAAACTGGAGCAGCGATTGCAGTATCCCCTGGATTATATGCTTGTAAACTCTGAATCAGTAGCAATTTGGACATTCTCATCTAGACCTCTTGCCTATAAAAGTAACTGAGTAACTGTCTCTTGGATTCATACTCACATGTCCATCTGCTTGCATAGTCTAGTGCCAGCTCAGACATTTGTCAAATCCTTGCCCTATCATGCATGGCGCCAAAGGACAATGAATAAAGCCCAGCAATAAGATTAACAGTGCAAGCAGTATCCTTTCTAAGAGGGCTCCAGTTTACCAGCGTGAATTTAGAGGATTTCAATGCTCTCTTGTATTTGAGAGTGAATATCAGCATTTAAGTATTACCAGAGAGAATTTCTTTTGAGAACAAGGAAGAAAGAAAAGGCCTCAGGCTTGGGAGAGGCTGACTGGAGAGTGCCTATAACTGGTCTGGCAGATGTGACTTAAAGGCCAAATGCAGCATGTCTCCTAACAACCTTACACCAGACACATCATCTTTCTCCTCCCCCCTTCTCTGGACAGTTTATCAATCACAGCTGGAAAGAGAGAGGAGAGTCTGAGTCTCTCGCTAGGAGGAACTGAAGACAGGTGGCATGGTTTTCTCACATTGGAACTCACTGCTCTAAAATAGTTCGAGGTTGGCAACCACCAGACATACTTTAAAACCCAATTATTTGTCTTTTTGTGAGCTGGGAGAAAGGACAGGATTTGCGAGGGGATGTTTTTCCACTTCAATTTACCATCCTATGGAGTTAATTCATGTCTTGTACACGATTATATTTTGCTGTTGTGTATGGTTATTGTCTAAGACTATAAATGTAATCAAATGAATGCTTACATGTTTTTATTATCATCATCTAATTCTGAAGAAATGAAATAACAAATAGATACCAAGCACTCAGCTCTTTCTGGAATATTGGTTAGTTTGATATTTCAGCTCGGGGCAGTTCTGTAAGGGGCAGTGTGCACCACTGCTCTGCACAGCAGGGCTAGGACTGAGGGACTGCAGCCAAGCACAGGAAGGCACTCACACTCCCACGACCAAGCAGGACCTGAGGCAAGGCGTGGGAATCAGATGAACAAAACAACACAAAATTTAACCCTTGTATCAAGCGATTTGAAGAGAACTCTATCACGCATCTAGCCAAGACAGCTTTTATAAACAGGTCCCTCTCTATCAAACAAAATGGGCAAAAAAATAAAAATATTTTCTTCTCACAGAAGACAGGATCAAATTTTTCCAGCAAGTCCTCTGCTACTTTGCAATGGCAAGAAAGAACAAAGATCTGACTTACGTAGCAGCACATCAGATGTCTGCATGAATAATGTGTACGTTGCTATAACTTTGCAAATGAGCTGAGTACATTATTTGCATAATCTGCACAAAACTGCACAAAGTCTGCATATTTTTCTGTAAATCTCTCTTTGTATATACATATATCTCTGTGAACAAATATTTGATCTGTTTTGGCAACTTAACAGTACAGAAGCTCAGACAAAACATATAACACAACACTTAATTCCCAATACTTTTGTATCTTTTCATTATTCTTTTGCAATGCTGATAGGAAAAACTTACCTCGAACTGCATCTAAGTAGTGAGCTTAAAAAAGAAAAGAACAAAACTGAGATGGATTGAACTTCTGTACCAATATGAAAAAGACAGAAAGCGTTTGCTTATGGCTTGCCACCTGTTGGTTAGACATAAAGTGCCTCCCTTCTACTGCAATCATATCTATTCCTACCACTGTGATCAAAGCATGCTGCGCTTGTGATTGTTCTCCATTTGATGACAAGCATGCAGAGGAAGCTTGGGCCACGTGTGCAGTGCCTACACTGCAAGTAAGAGTGATGCAAAGCTTTACTTCTCTTTGTTATTATGTTTGTCCTGTCTGGATTTGCTCTACACAATCTCTGATAATGTAAGCCGTTCCTTCTTCGCGTATTTAAAAGTAGATTTAGCAAATCTGATGTAGTAAACTCTAGAGTCAGTGAATTAATTGCCTTAATTATTAATTATCTTAAAATTATCAAGATAAAGATTAAACATTCTACTGTATTCAGGAAGAAAACATGAAAGCTCACACTGTTTACTTCTGAAAATTAGATACGCTATGCTTATAAACAATTAAAATGTTTATGAATAATATTGCTCTGAGACATTTTAGGTTGAAACACTGTTAGATTTTCTCAAAATAACCTTTTGCATTTCAGTAAACATATAACTATTACATTTCTACAGCAGAGAAATGACTTCTGAAAAGATCTGAGACTATTGCATTTACTAGAAATACTGTTAGAACCCAGCTACAGGAAAAAAAAACCTCTAGAACAAAGTAAAATGTGTGAATCCTCAAATGCTGTGGCAAGAGACAGTGCAAGAATTACTTAAGCTGAACAGCTTCATCCCTAACACCTCAAATTCTCAAAATCAACACTTTCTCAAAACCTTATTTTATCCATGACTCAAAGTTCATGCACAACTTAGAGATATGCAGGGACCTACACAACTATGCTTTGTGTGTGTGGTTGTTTTTGTTTTTTGTTTTTCTTTTTTAAAGTTAATTCTTCGGTGCTATTTCCTCTAAATAGAGTACTGTGCTGTTGCCATTCTGTGAATGCCATTCTGTGAATGCCATTCTGTGAATGCCATTCTGATTGCTGGCTCTGTGTTTTTCTAAAACGTGAGTCCTGATGGCCCTGGCAGATCTTTGCGAAACTGGTTAAAACGTCATTCATTTTATTTACAGAGGTACAAATCCCCCTTACCAATGGTGCAGTGGTCCCCTTCCCATCCAGGGCTGCACTCACACTTCCCATCTTTGCACTGCCCGTGCTCAGCGCAGTGGGAATGGCAGGTGCGCTCCTCACAGGTGGGTCCCACCCAGCCCTCCTCACACTGGCAGATTCCTCTCGAACACACACCGTGGCTGCCGCAGTCCAGGGTACACAGCTCTGCACAGGAATACAGAAACACATCACGTGAAAGAGCAACTTCATACCGCAGGTGGACTTTGCGCTGATGCTAAATGCAATCACTTCTATCCTAACAGCGATCAAACGGGATTCTGTCACCTAGCACAGACCTCACACAACGTGGCTGCGTCCTTCTTTAACAGCTTGTATTGGACTAGAGACTATAGTGATGGCTTTGCTCATGGGGGAGCAATGGGTCCAAATCAGATGCTAGTGACACAACAGTCCACGTCCTTTGGCTGATTTCAGCTGAGAACATGTCATAACTGCTGGGCTGTGCAGGCTGGAGAAGCCTAATGGGAGGCTGTGAGAAGGAAGGAGACAGAATCCTTAGTGGGGTCTGTTGTGACAGGACAAGGGGTAAATGGTTTCAAACAAGAAGAGAGGAGCTTTAGATTGGATATAAGGAAGAAGTTTAATGGAATAAAGGCAGTTTATGGTGGTGCTCCATCTCTGGAGACACTCAAGGTCAGGCTGGACCGGGCTCCGAGCACATGATGGAGCTATAGTGTCCCTGTTCAGTGCAGGAAGTTGGACTAGCTGACCTTTAAAGGCCCCTTCCAACTCAATTTATTCTATAAATCTATGATAGTCATGGCCATGGGCTCATTTCTGAAATTTGTTATAAACTCAAACACTGTGTGTGGGATGAGCTAAAGGATAAAGTGGCGTTCTAAACACACAAAAGCAAACCAGCCTTTGATCCATTCAGATGTTTGCAGTGGAGGTAAAATGGCCTTCCCTTGCAGTACAGTGAGCAAGCAAGAAGCCAGCACAGAAAGAAGGGGAGCCTGCATCCCATTCCACTGAAGCTACCACAGCTCTGCCTGGTTCGGAGAGAGCTTTCAAGGTTTAAGTCTCTCTCCTATTCTATTTTTTTTTCTTTCCCTTCCTTCCTTCCTCTCATGAGTCAACTGTTAAAAACCAGAGGAACTGTCTCAGGAAGGCAGGAGCACCTCCTGCACTTTGCTCCAAACAATTCCTCCACCTGGGCGCTGGGGAACGCACAGTGAATTGGAATGGGAGTCCTGAACTGCTTCAATACATCAAAATATGCCAATTGCAATTCTGCTTCCACTTAGACTAAAGTTATTCTGTGAAAAGAATGGCTTCATTATAGGGGTTCTGTGCAGTTTGATTTTATTTAGAATAATTAGTGTCAGGAGACAGAATTTGCTTGTTATTCGGCAATTAACCTGCCACAGAAATGTTTCCTCCTTTTTCTTCTTGGAGAGCAGCTGATAGCACAAGTGTGAGCCAAGTAACCATGCCTGCTCCGATTTCAAATGTCAGTGTTACATATTTAGTTGTGGGAAGATTTTTCCCTTGACAGATCTTAAATAGTGATCATTTATATCCTGGAACTATTGTATATAAACATGCTTAAAAGCATTTGTAGCGATAAATGCTGTCACTGAACACGCCAAGCCAAGTTTTTAAAGTTTAAATTGAAATCTGATCAATTCCAATCATTTTAACATAACAAGAAAAGCAGCACAGAAACTGAACCACGCTGAGACCAATGTGCCTGGGATGTAATTCGAGTTAGATTTCAGCCCTTATTTGCTCTCGTCAACAGCCTGCATGATGCACAGAGTGCAATTGAAAGGAATGGTGAGTGACAAACTGTGGCAGAGTGAGGTCAAACTCAAAACCACCTTCAGAACCTGGAGGTGTGGTAAAGAACAATGAAAGATCCAATGAAAGCAATTGCAAAGTGCTGTGCCTGAGGAACTCAAAACCAACTACATAAAAAATAATTAATTTTTCTATTCAGACAGGGACTTGAGTTATATTGGAGAGCAAAATAAACACAATTATCTGTTGCTATTCTCACAAAAAGAGAAAATTGTACGTCCTTTTGTATGTAAGACCAGAAAAGAGACTGCTCTGCCAAATTCAACTGCAAAGATGCTTCAAATGAAAAACTCTGCTAAAGCTGGGGAATTATTCTTTAGAAAGACTTGATTGCTACCTGCTGATCGTGTATTAATCTAATGCTTCATGCTTTGGGCTGCCTGCCTTGCAGGTTCTGGGCAGGATTTCTTCCCTGTCACCACACGATTTGGTTTGACTTCTTTGCTTGGCTACTTGATCCTTGGAGAGCTGGGATACTGCTCAGGGGGCACCGGATTGCAGGGGAGAGCCTCCTTTGTTACTTCTTTGGTATTAGGGTCACTCAAATACTTTTTGGTCCTGTGATCAGGGATCACAAAAGTGATCGTGGCATCCATCTACCTTCTGATCATAGGACCATCAGGTATCACAAAAGCATCCCCCCTGCCCCTCAGCCAGCCCGAGGACAACTGGCATTTCTTTCACTTACCTTTATACCATGGGGCACAGGCAAACTCCTGAGAATTAAATCCAATGAATCACCTGCTACTTCAAGGACTTAGGCTGCTGGAGGGATGCCTTTGATCTCTCCTGATCTCCCTGTAGTTCATTATAATTATAGTGCTTGCTATTTTATTTTAAGTGGCATAGATTGTTAAGAGGATTTTAAGAAATATTCCGTGGCTTACACTATGCTGGGATAAGTGGAGCATAGGTTGTTTTTTTTTTTAACTCTTCTGGATTGAGTGCCTACTAGTTTTTGCAGATGTGGTACTGTTTTAGCTCAACCAACGCCAAAACTCCAAGGACTATTCTAGGAACACACAAGAGAGCCCGTGGCAGTGTAGGCTGGAAAGGTTGAAGTGGAGAAACTAGGTGATACACAGAGCTTCTGATCTTGTCAGCAGCTCAGGCAGCTTCCTCCTCTTCTCTAACTGTAAATAAAACAAAGAACCAGCTGTGGAAAACCTTGAACACATTCTCATACACGGCATGACTTCCTTCTGCTTGTCTACCCCACAGAGTCTGATCTCGACATCTGCATCCTCCAAAGAAACAAAGAAATAGCAGGGGGAGGAAATGTAGGCACAACTCTACTGCTGGGATGTAGAATTTGCCTATATTCCCACTTTACAACCTAAGGAAATAGACCCTAAAATACTGGACACTTTTCCATTGTTTTCTCCATGTTTCCAGCCTCTTTTATCTATTTCACACAACGAATAAAATATTTATACACTTTTTAAGCACATTAATATAATTAGATTAATAAAGTGGAAACAAAGAATACCCTAGGCCAGACAGTACATGCTGTAAGCACCAGATTAGAAAGAAAAACAAAGTCCTTGTTTTTCTGTTTGGACCACACACCTTCCCCAGTAGCAGTCATCTAACTGCTCAGCCCACTCATCCTTTATGGCCATGAGGCCAATTTTAGGAGCTGTTTCAATGATTTAATGTGAGGCTTCAGAAGCACTGTTTAATGTGTTTATGTGGTCTTCTGAAAAGCAAATCCCAGATTCTTCCCAGACCTCTCATGCAAAGCAAGGGAAATCAAGCCTAACACCATTCTTTTTATAATGTGATAGTACACACAGATTCAATTTGCAGCTAATTCAAACAACTAAGATCAAAGAAAAGAATGGTCAGTTTAATTTGTCCTCTTTTTAAATGCAAAACAATTCCTAGTTCCGTCTGTGGGTAAACAATGATGGATGACATCTATCTGGACTTCTACAAAGTCTCTGACATGGTCCCTCATCACATCCTTCTCTTTAAATTGGAGAGGTGTGGATTTGAAGGATGGACTGTTCGATGGATTAGGAACTGGCTGGCTCGATACTGGCAAAGGGTTGTGATCAAAGGTTCTGTGCCAGGGTGGAGTGCACCCTCAGGGAGTCTGCAGATGACACCAAGCTGAGCGGTGCAATCGATACATTGGAAGGAAGGGAAGCCATCCAGAAGGACCTGGACAGGCTGGAGAAGTGGGTCCATGAGAACATAATCAGGTTCAGTAAGGCCAAGTGCAGGGTGTTGCACTTGGGCTGGGGCAATCCCAAGTGCTTATAGAGACTGGGCAAAGAACCCCTTGAGAGCAGCCCTGTGGAGAAGGACTTGGGGGTTCTGGTGGATGAGAAGTTGGATATGAGCCAGCAGTGTGAGCCTGGAGCCCGGAAGGCCAACTGTGTTCTGGGCTGCATTAAAAAAGGGATCATTGTGGTCCTTTCCAACCCAGGCCATTGTATGATTCTATGATTCTACGAAGTACAGAAATATCAGCACAGTAAGAAATCACATTAGCATTTGTGTTTGCACCATGGGAGGGTTTCCACAGCATGACTAAATGAGACACTGAGTAGACAGTGATCAAATGGGAAATGAAGGAACAACCTGAAATAGACAAATGGCTTAAAACAAGTCTGATGTAAGAATTCAGAAAGTACAGAAGTCCTCAAGTCAGATGTCATCCAAGTTGTTGGCACATCCTCCTCCTTCCACAGCAGTTGGCCTTACAGGATTCAGAAGCACCCCAAAATGCAGTGAATGCTCAGGAAGGAGCCAGCAGAGCAAGGCATGGCTTTGAGATGTGTGTAGACACAGTAGCCAAGCCAGAGATCTTACCTGTATGTGAATCAGTATTACACCCCCCTCCTCTCCATCCATCTCCTGGGTCTGTGTCCCTGGTCTTATCTGGAGCATATCTGAAACTGGTGAGCTCACTCAGAACATCAAACTGACAGATCATTGTTCACTTTATCATCCTAGATTAATACCCGACAGCTTGCTGAGCTAAATCAGCCCGCTGAGGGATAAGAGGAGCAATGTGGGCAGGGTAAAGGAGGAGATGCAGAGCCCAGCCTGTCTGGAGCTGTCCTGAGGAGCCACAGTCTTCATCCCAAGGGAAAGTGACACATATTAGGTAACAAGGGAGGCAGATGACAGGAGGATACATTTTATATTAGAGAAGTGGACTTTGGGGAATATTTATTATAATATTCTGAAGCCTTTAGTTGTGCTGTTACATCATCAGTCTTTCTCAAAAGGTGCAGTGCAACACGTAACTCAAGAAGATCTTCATCTGCTTTGGTATTCAGGCTTGTGGACATGCACAAAAGCCATTTCCTCCCCTTCACTCTTGCTCA